ACTATTATTATGCAATGAATAAATCATAAACAAATTTTACGTTACAAAAAAAATCTAAATTTTCTTGATTATTATGTTAAACGTTGTCTATATAATGATAAATTTTAAGTTTTTATTCAGTTTCAGCTGCCAAAATGAATAATACTTGCGATAAGCACATGACTTTTATTAGTCGTAGTAATTAAATGGTAGGTAAAATAGATTAAAATCGGCAAAAATTAAATCGACATTATTCCAGCTTTTTTTTTAATAGATATGTTTTAGGAAGTACTCAACAGTATTACATATTTACAACATATATTCCGTACGTCTTTAGTTACTATCAAATTTTTCGAATATGTAAACTATTAGACTATTAAAATGTTTGTTTCCTATAAGAATATGAATAACTCACGTTAAAATAAAAACATAAATGAAGTGCTATTTTTATTGATCGTATTTTAAAAGTTAAAAATAAAACCTTTTAATATTTTTAACATTAAACAATCGTTTATATTATAAAAAATCATTTAAACAATTATATTATTTTATTATTTTGCGTCATTTTGAAAAGTATTTAATATGTATAGGTAGGATAATAAGAACGTCGAAGTTACAATATTTAATTAAAGAACGAATAATGTTTACTAAGCAAGTATAGGATTGTCTTAAATATTTTTTACGATGACATAGGTCTCTAGAGAATACCAAGTAGCTAAATATTTAGCACAACCAACCATTTTAATTTATTTGATTCATAAATATACAAGAATTAGTAACACGTTACTTAATTATCCAGTAAGAATTTTCAACAACATTTTCCTTAATCTTGTTAATATATTATATCCTATATATTATCCTTAAAATATTTATTTATATTTCAAAATTTCAATCATTCTTGAGAATGAATGAAAATAAAATAGTTACAAAAATAATGAATAAAACCTCTTTAAAAATTACTTAAAATTATTTTAGTTATACAATTAAATTTTTTACTATAATTATGATATTCTAATGAAAATAGATGATGAAAGATTATAGCGATTTTGCACTGCCACAACAAATGGTTGAATATTTACTGATAAAATTTGTGAAACCCAATAATAATATGTCTGATAAGTAGACAAGTACAGACAGTTCCGGTGATTGGCCTACGCATCCGGATATTAATGAATAATATATGACTAATTATAAAGTAGTATTAAAAAATTATTGTTTTGTACAAATTATAAAACATACACTTTGATATAGTTTTATTTGTAAATTAAAAGGTATGACAGTTAATCTTCGAAATCTAAATAAATCATTCTAAAAATGTTTGTGATTGAACACTATATTTCTCAAAAATACATTTTTTTATTTTATAATTAGGCTTCGATTATTATTACAAGGAGGATCTCATATAAACTAAACATTTTATTAGTGTCCATAATACTTCAGCTCTTTTACTTATTAATTATAACTACCAAACATTTTCGAGGATTTTAAGAAAAATACATAAAGAAATTATTTTTTACTTAATATGTACGAATAATTTATTAACTGATAAAATTAGTAATTCTATAACAACAATTTTTACGCTATTAAACGAAAAATAAGATGTTTAATTGTTACTTAAGAGTAACAATTTAAATGGAAAATATAATTTTTTGTTGAACCTGTAATCAAATATATTTAACACACTTTTATTTATAAATTATAATTAGATATTCTTTAAGCACAATTTTCATTTTGCTCCACATTCCCCTACCCTTTAAATTACAATTACTGCCTTTTATACTACCCAGGGAGGTAATTTATAATCATATTACTATCATTTTTTTTCAATTTTCTCTTTTTCCAAAAGTAACTTTTTTTCTAAGTTTTATTTCAAATTTCAATTTTTCTGGAAATTTTTAATCCTAGACTGACCAAATATTTTGTACAAATTATGCCATTTTATAATACCCCAAAAATTAATAATTTCAGTAAAACATGATTGTCTTATTTATACCATTGATGAAATTTTTATTTTTCATATTTTATCGTTAACTACGAAATGTATTCAAACGCATTTTAGTACAACTCAAATCTATTAGCCGATAGATCAAATTAAAATGTATGTAAGATATTTTATTGTTGATTATCATTAAATATATACATGATTTTGTGTATTTAATTGCAAATTTAAGTATTTTTTAAATATTTTAACAATCTTACAGATAACTAATCGGTTGATTAACTGCTTATTGCAGTAATTTATAAATAAAAATATCTGATTATCATGATGATTGTAATATTTTATCTTATCAATAATATATTGTGTCACAACTTCATTATTTGTATAATTCAGCTTAATCGTGTAGATATATTTTACCACTATACAGAAATACATTGGTTTGCAGTATAGAAATTTTATGGTAATCAAACAATATTATTTTAGATCTCTTTCGTATTTTAAAAAATATTTAATAGACAATTTTCAATCTATAAATAAAATTAATTTGTGTATTATAAATTTAAAAGGTATGCAAGCAAAATTTTGAACAATTTAAAACACAAAACAAGTTCTTTAAAACAGTTGCAATTTTTTTTTTTTTTTTATTAATTCAATTGTATTTTTGTTACTCGAACAAAATATTTGTAGGCTTGGTAAATTATTTATTCTCCAAACAAAAATATTTGTTGTTTAATCAACAAGAGAAATTTTAGGCTGTATATTATTAATAATTCTTTTCAGTATTAGAGTATCATATTTAGAAGGAGATATTTAATTCCCTTTTTATTCAATTGCTCTTGTGTATGATAGATGAATCATCAATGTGCATTTTAATGAAATTATATATTTACAAAGCAATTTAATATTTCTGATAGATAGTACTCCATACACAAACTAGACGTTAGTTTTGAAAATAGTACTTTTTGATAATCATTGATAAGTTTTCCTGTCAAAGGTTTTTGATTATAAAAGTTAACATTTAGACAACCTTAAATAAACTTTTTTTTAAGTTTCAAAAAAGCTGTGATATATAATTATAATATAACATTTTTATTTAACTTTTATCAAAAACGTCAAAGGCACAAACATCATTAATACCAATGACAAAAAAATTTAAAAAAGTGTTCAAGAAGTCTATTGAAATCATTAATCGATTTTTCCAGATCAACGCTTAAAACACCTCTTTTTGAAATCAGGAAGTGGTTCCAGGTTTTTTTTTTTTTTTTAATTACCTGTAATCAAATATTTTTAAATCAAAATATTTCAAAAAATAATGAATAATAAAAAAAATAATAAAAAATATTTAAAAAAAATGTTTAACAACCAACGCATTAGACAATCGGTTTTTTTAACAAAAATAAATAACTACTTTAAATTAACCGGCTAAAGACAAAAATAATAAATTGGTTTCATTAAGATCTGGTTTAAAATTAAAATGCATTTTTACACTTTAACAAATGATTAGAGTGTGAAGATAATACTGTATTTTTGCTTAGAGAAATATTTTCTTATGTATACCACCTTAGAACAAAAGCCTAACTGTTACTAGTATATTTATTATTATAACAATAGTAATTTTGTATAAACCCTTTATGATGAAAATGATTATGACTTAATAATATATTTGATGAGGGAGATTGTAAAAAATGTATTATGAATAGCCATTCTAACACATTTTTTTTTTTTGTGTGTGTGAAAACAAATACTTTAAAATTGTATATTTTATTATTAACCGATGTTAAGCTGTTAAATTTTTTTTTTTTTTGTTAATTTACTATAAAAACGAGAATAACGGTAAAACGATAACCGAAAGCGGTTACTGATTTTAAGTATTCACTTTTTATTGGGCCGATAACTTTTTTTATTGTAATGGTTTGAAGTCCTGATTTTACAAAAAATTTCGCAAATATTATTTTTATTCTCTTCTGCTCTCCTACACTTATTTAATTGAAGATATTTAAAAATTTTTTGCTGTACATTAGACAATAATGGGTGTCGTAATATACCAGTCACAATCATAATATGGTAAACAGTAGGCTACTCTGTTTGTATCCACAATAATGGTCTTTAATTTAGTCTTTTCGTTTAAGATAATCAACACTTTTATAATGTATACATTATGTTACATTCTTAGAAGAACATGATTCTTTTCAATCAAAAAAATCAAATAAATGACTTATAGAAATATATAACAAACGTAACTCTTTAACCATATTATATTATACACGTTTCAATCATAAATCAATTATTAGTCACTTTTAAAATCTTTCTTTACCGTGAAGAAATCTATAGATTATACTTGTCGTTTTTTTTTTATTCTTATCTCAATAATTGGACGTAATGTTTCAACCCTAATCTTAATTGTAAAAAACTATATTAACATTATATAAAATGTCAAAATGATGTCTATACTATTCATCTGTAATAATTTGTACATTTTAGGCTTACTTATCAATAAACAATAATATTGAATAAGAATAAAACAATTATTATTTTTTTAGGGATATACAAGTATTATAAAAGGCAGAGCAATCCATTTTGTTTTAATCGCGCACTCGAAATCCTTTACGTAAAAATTGTGATCGTAATTGTCGGAATTTGTACGTGTTAAAGTTGTGAACTAAATATCGAATTTGTGTTATTTTATTAATTATTACTAAATACTGTTACCGATGTTATTCTAAGAATAAAGACGAAAATTACCAGGTAAGATTTCAATTAATAATTATTTTGCTTATATTATTTTAAGACCCTCGAATCACGCACCGAATGAAAGTTACTGTCACTGTTGTTCAACACTTTTGAATTTTCATGTTTTAATATTTTATAATTTAGTAAAAAATTAAACAAGCGTTGAACCATCTATTTTACAAAGTTTTTGAGATGTGGGACACCGGTCCCGTCTTTAAACCATTTACGAGGCCGTGGGACATATGCATTTATGCGCGCACGCATCCTGTAGTGCATTTCCTATTACAATGGCGGTAGAGGCGTCGCGCGTAAACAACAATATTGTAACAGCGGCCTAGGCGGATTTGACCGTCCGCGTACATTCGGCCCGTAACGGTAGCCGCGTGAGGACACGGTTTCTATGCTCTTCGATGTTTGGCTTATCATAATACAACACACGAATTGTTGCAATCGGGTTTATAACAGTACCCACGTTGCTATTATTAAAGAATATATCAAAGTACCGGACGGCACGCCGTGTAACGACCGGGAGCGGAGCGCGCACGCTTATGACATCGGCGCTGCTTCCCATAACGTTTGCCGATCGAAACGACAGCGTGCCGCAGAAACACCGTGTTGTACCGAATCGGCCAGTCGGACCCGCGGTGGTGATCAGCTGCGGTGGTGCAAACCTTTGTACGTGCTCCGTCAGTGTCCTCGCACAATTGCGATCGATCGCGGTCCGCCGCCGGCACCAGCCGCGCCGTCAACGGTTGTAGTTCAAAGACAAGAGATAAAGTGACATTTACTTTGCCCGCGAAGGTGATCAGATTAAACCTTACCGCTAGTCGACTCTGATGGAGTTGACCTATCACTGTACACACAGGTAAATGCTACGATAGTATTAGTATTATGCTTTTTGTCATATTGTTTAGCCCCGTCCCTCATATCATACACAAATCGGTTGCCATGCCATCCGAGCCAATAGAACACACGCGACGGCGGTGTCTTAAAAGTGTAAAATTCTAATCGCATTTATTAAAATAATTAAGTACTATTTTGTGGACTGCAGCGTTTGCCAAAATAATATTCAGACTTCGATTTGGGAAAGGTGACGAGTGAATTATACGAGAACAGTTGCCAAAAGTGCTGAAAATAAAGTTAGATACCTAAGAAAAACATTTGAAGGTATTGCAGTGGAATAGAGAGTGTAAAAAACAAGTGAGCGTAGAGACTTTGGCGGGAGAATATTGAGGTATATTGATGACATTAAAGTATTATAGAATTGTCGGAAATTAAGATAAATTTAATGTGTATGAGCTTGCCAGAGAATTAGATATAATAAAAAAGTGTTTTCTATCAAATTAATTGCTACTAGAATTTTTAATAATTAATAATTAAACCTTGCGATTGAGGAAAAAATTTACTTTTTTTAGCTTCGTTGCGAAGCTGAGAAGGTATTTTTTTACCATGATGTGTTTATTATTTTTTTTTTTTATGTCTGTTGCCACTTTTTCTCAGCTCTCACTGGACCGATTTCTTTCAACAATACGTCAAAAGATCACAAATCGTATCTAGTTGAAGACATTACCCTTAAAAATTGAAAATTTTTCCCTAGTTTCCCGCAAATAATGGAAATCTCCAAAAAAATTACAATTTTTTTTCTTAAAACTTCCATAACTTTTTCAAAAATCAACTAATCAACATAATTTTTTTTAAATATATACTCGATTATCAAAAAGTTAAATGAAACAACTACAATCAATTTTGTAAACATTATTGTCTCAAAAAAAAATTCATACTGAAATAAATGCAATTGGTGGTCGAAGTGATAAGACAAAATAGATAATAACATTTTGCTTGTATAAATTAACTTAAGAGCTCCAAGTTTATCATATCAATTAGTTTGTAATTTATATAGTACCTAATTATAGTTCATCTAAAACCATAAATAGTTAGCTAGATATTTAAAACAATTCTATTTAGGTATTATATTTTTGTGTACAATATCACAAATGTTTTTTTGCAAAAAAAAATTTTATATAAATTAAATCACTCAGACAAAGTTTAATAATTATCTTAAGTGTTTTCAGAGTCAAAAAATATTTAGTGATTTTCGATTTTATATCAACAAACGATTAAAACATATGTCTAGCCGTTTGTTAACCCCAATAAGCAAAGAGCAAAAAGGTGTAATCTGACATTTTCAAAATTTTCCATGAAAACATGAAAAACACTTTCTGCAAGATTTATGTTTAAAAAACGCTTATTTTTGAAAACAATGTGTAACCTAATATTTTTCACAAATATAATTTTATAAGAACTTATTATGTACGAATTAAATCATTATCATTGATAAATTTACCACCAGCAAATAATTTCAAAACATAAAATTTAAACCTATAAAACAATTAACAAAGAAAAACTTACAATTTGTTGTTGATCTTTATATAAAATATTTGGAAAAGATTTAACAACTATTGTAATATATTAAGTACTTTTAATTATTTTTTCTTTTATATACATAAAAAATATGTCATATAAAAGTTTTTGATATTATCATGATAATTTTAGAATTTTTAGTGAATAAATTACTTTTAAACTTGCATTTTTTTTTTTAATATGATGGTATTTACTTGTATTATGTATGAAAAGAAGTCTTGGCGCTTAATGTTGATGGTTTATGAGAGAGGTAAAATGAGGTAAATAGATTTCATTTTATGATAAGGTACAAGAAGAAAAACTTCTTATCCTAAGAAGCAACAGTTATAATTTCACATAAAAGTTTGATAAGAAAAAATGCAGTAAATTACTTTTAATGAGATAAAGAATAATAAAGAGTATTGTTGTATGATATAAACTTGTTTTAAAGACATTTTTATTAAAAAAAAAAATTAATTAATATATTTTTATTTGAGCTCTTAATTTAATTAAAATTCTAATATTAAGGTGCCAAGTTTTATTAATTAATACATGAAAAGTTACAAATCATAACATTTCAATTATAATAACTTATAATATTTTAAATCTTAACTCTAATATTCTAAAGAGTAAATATTGGTTTTAAAAACCGTATTTTTTTTAACATATTAATTTAAATAAAATGTTCAGACCTAGTAACTATTTTAAACCTGACAACAAATAGATTACAATAAAATTTATGTGGTAAAACTTCGTGTCGCGTTAAATAAACTATTGAAACATGGTCAATGTTTAAGAAATAATTGGTACACTGTATAAAATACATCTTACGTGTTCAGAAATAACATTTTTGCCGCTATTAACATTTTTTACCTTGGCAGAGTACGCCAACCTATAACATAGCACGGGCGTTCATTTTGCAGTCTTGTTTAAGCTATTCTGGCTTGTGTCCCTTTTTCCCGGGTCTTATGTAAAGTCATCAATCACAACTTTCATAGTAAATTATAACAATACTATACAATTATTATTTTGCTAGATTATTGAAAAACTGTTTTTTTTATTCTATTTATCAAGTCAACAATACAAAATGATGTGTTAATAATTATGTAAATGTAACAAATAAGTACTTATAATTCGATCTATTATTATACACGATGACTTAATTGAATTATCCAAGATTGTTATTAGAACCTTAAGGTATATAAAATATCATTGTCGACAGAACTATTCAAATTTTAGTCGATCCAAAATGTTTATCTCATATATAACTCACATAAGAAGCGGTGCAACTACTAGGGTTGTGAAGCACTCCGTCCTAGACCTTTTATCCATAAAAATTTACTTGTGTAGTCTAAAATCTAAACTCATAAGGAACCAAATTTTCTATAAAACACAAAAAATGTGAAAATGAATTTACCAAACAACAGGCTTGTGAAGCTCTATGAGCCTTATACAATTACAGTACCCCCGATATTATTCTCTAGTTATATCACAATATATAAATATTAAATAAGTACACAATTAACTTTTTTTATTTGAATTTTACATATATTGTCTTTTAATAAAATATAAAAACTATATTGTTAATAATGATCATTTATTTATAAAAAAAAATTATAAAATGAACATTTAATAGACCAAAATGAAGACAATTTTTCGTTCAACTTTTAAAAATTTTCGACTTTACAAAATAAAAATATTTTTACTATTTTAAAACGTCAAATTACGATAGTTTATTAGAGTTATTGTCAATTGTATTTTGGTCACGGGGTAATGTCATATCCATAGCATAGGCTTTAATTATTATGGATTTTATAAAAAAATTCACCACGTGTTTTGTAAATATATTATTATAACAATGCCTATTATTTTCTACGTATAGATATAATGATAGGGCTAAGTTATTTTTTTATAGCAATTCACCATAACTTCTAAAAATTGATAAACAATTATTAATTGTTTTGTGATTTTATAGGAAGATTTAACAAATTTCTTTGTAAATTTGTACACAATAACGCAACTGTATCAATCAATTATTATACAACTCGTGACATGCAAATTGCATAATCCTATCATAAAATTAGCACATTATGTCTATTATAAATAATTCATGATATCACTTATATACTATTGACTATTTATGTATACATGTTTTATATTGATTATAGAACAAAATTGTAAAAAAATTTATTTGATGTTGGGATATATATTTTTACAATAAATAGAGTCCAGAACCTTGAGCATTTAGACACTATGTTTTTAGCCATCCAGAAACTGAAACTCAAAGATAAAAACAACAATTTTTTTCTGTAAATTTTTAAAACATTTTTCTATTAATATACATCAAGGTGGTTAATATATATAGTTTCAAATAAAAAAAATATTATACATTAAAGCATTTTACAATAAAAAATAATTTAGATTTAGATACATTTAGGATTACTCAAATGAAATTTATTAATTGTCATTTAATGCTAGAAACCTACAAATATAACAAATTTTATCATAGATATTATTATAAATTATGTTAAAACCAAAATATGCGTAATACATATCTAACCCAATGCTTTAAGGTAATAAAATTAAATTTTTAATCAATTAAAAAATAAATGAATTAAGTTTTACGTTTTTACGCTATATTTCGTCAACATTTAATGCTTTGTTTGTGGTTTCACATTTAAATTTTAAATTAATTCCGGTATATCTTCCAGACAGATTCTGCCTTTCTAATAAAAGAGATTAATGTTGAACATGAGAAGTACAATGGCTATTAGAATGATGCTGAGTTTTAAGAACGTTACAATTTCTTAAATGACATCATTATAATTAAATAATATTCTTGACCCATTTTTTGCTTGAAATGCATTTTTTCCAGAAGATTAGACTATGTGCAATATTATAATAATTATTAAAAATAATAATCTTTCAAATCATCAAATAATTTTTTTACGTTTCTGTTAAACATAATATTTTATTAAAACATTTTAAATAAAATGTCACTCATTAATTTCCAAAATGCAGATTATAGTAAATTATTTCTATCAACATTTATATTTATATGTTATTTTTATTATTTAAGCCCTTCAAAAATTAACATAGGTGACCTTATTTAATAAAATGAAACATTTTTTTTTTTTGATATTATATTTATTTAATTAAACATTTATAGACTTATAAAAATATAGCTTATGACATTGTTTAGTTGAATTTTAACATAAATTTCACTCTTATTTTTAATATATTACTTGAACTCATAGACACAATTAACTCCTTCAAATTCTGTCATAGCCCCACCAAAATTATTAAAATTACATATATTTTTAGATAGTAATATTTATAAGAAAGGTAGATCCCCAAATATTTTATTCAAATTGTGCATATAATTAATCGTTGAGTTTCTATATAAGGTTTTGATGTTGATTAAAGGTTTAGATTGTTCAAAATTTAATTTATAAATTTTACAAG